TATAACTCTTGGCCATTCTGTCCGATCACATTGAGTTGTCCAAAAAGAGTTATCACGAACCCCGCATGGGGAGCGAACCTTAACAGTATTTTACAGCGAGTTGACTAGTAGCAATGATCTTGAGGACCTACTAATCTCACTCGAGTAAAAGGTGTTAAAACGTTCATGTCATTTGAACACGTCGATACGTAATTTCAATTTACAACAGAACATTATGAAGGACTCGAAGAGATTGATGTGAATATGATTGGCCCGCAGTGCGTATGAAAGGAAGAAAAGATGGTTGTAGGATAAAATTAAACCGATTACTTTATGCTTGGTTTCTAATGTTTGGCTGTAACTATTGTATTCAAGCGAAGTTAAAGGAGACGTCCATCACCGTACGTAATGTCACAAGGGGTCTTATGTTAGGGAATCTTGTACGGGGCACCATCACGTGCATTCATCGTCCTCCTCCTTTTTTGTAAAATACATTGCATATTTACCGGTAGACTGGCTTATTTCGCAAAATAAGTCACTTAACCGAAACTGTGATATGCAACCAAAACATCTAGAAGAATAGGCGCCGTATGGAGCAATAAATATTGCAGATGGTCTTCTCGTTTCACGACTGATACCTGCTAGATGGCTTTCGTGAAGTAAACTCTATTTTACAGTACACAAATGAGGTTTTGGTGTGGTCTTCCATTTGGATATTCTAATTAAGCCAAACGTGCTTAGGGCCAATAAGATTGCAAGGCCTGCGGAAAAAAACGATCGCAAGAGAAGACGTAGGTTACCGGCGGAATGCAAAAAAAGAAAGTAGGTTGTTAACGACGACACGTGAAGCATAAGAGTTTTTTAACCTCAAACTGTGAGCAAGAATTGTCCCTTTCTGTACGGACTACGAAAATCTTAGCTCCTATATTATCTCTAGGCGTCATTGTAAAGGTTAGGTAAATAAACCTTTTTGGTGAGGATAAACTTCCTGTTCATTAGATCAATTCTGTTTCTCATTGTTGAGCAGAGAGTTCTCAAAGAACAGACGCGCTATTATATCAATAATGCCTGTAGGCTAAATGATATAAAAATCATCTTAAAAAATTATTTTCTCTATGCAAGAGATTTCTCAATTTTTGAAAGGCAATCAATGCCAACCATCTCGCTCGCAACAAAGGAAATTTAAAAGTATATTTCCCTTAAATTCCCAGTTAAAATAAAATAGAATAGAAGGAGTACACTTTATCGTTGAGACAAGAAATTCATTCGCCCTACATTTTGAAATCCGTCGCGATTACGGATTAATAGTTAGTTTCCGGCTCCTCAGAAAAATGGTAATCTGCCTAGGTTCGGCAGAACTGTATATTCGTGGAAAATTAGGTCGAGAATAACGGAGCAAAGAAGTTTTAAATTTTTCTAGCTTCATCGAAGGGCTAAGCCTGAATAAGTATCTGATCATCCAAGAAGAGTTGCGCTTTTCAATTTTCTTACGGTTTTGAAATACTCAGAGAACTTTTAGAAAGCTCTAGATACAGTCAGTCAGTTACAGATCTCATTAGCTGTTGGCCGAAATATTGAAATGTGCTTTCGACTAGAAAGGGTTATTTAATCAGAGTTGTAACATTCATTATTATTCTGTACAAGCTCAACATGTTTCAGACGCACCAAGATCGCGGGTTTAGGAGGCACATCAGCAATGACCATCAGCAATAACCACTCAAATCAGCCATGATAGAAATCCACTGTTCATATGTTTGAGCATCCTCCACATCCTAGGAAAGAGTCTGTCCATGGTTTTCAGCAAATGTGCTATTTCATATTACCTTTCACCACCCAAAACATACTTAACGTAGCTGTTTAGTAAACACCCGAAAACACTGAGGTATCTTCCAACCTTTATGGGACGCTGTACTGCGATCATAAGTGATCATGTTTAATTCATCTACATTTTCCTTTTCAGAATAAATGCATTTTTACTTTCTTATGGTATCTTTGTGGGACTACCAAAGAGTTATACCTCAGAATTCTTGTAAAGATGTTGACTTTGCAGATTAGGGAGAACACTCAATGGTTATTAGCCCCACCGCATCTAGCATTGATTAGGTAGAAAGTCTTCAGTGCATTGACTCACTAGCCAATGCAGAAACCGCTTTGACATCACTGTTTTGGTTGCATAAACACCCCTCTAACTATATATGTGCGGCAAATGGACAAATACAAATTGCACGCGGAGCAGGCGGACATCGCGAGCAACGATAGATTCTTTAGAGCAGACCAGACTGCGTTTATCGGCTATTTTCGAACTATAACTATAGTAAGCACAACAATTGATCGTAATTTATTGGTCGGAAACGTCTTTTACTTGGCTTTTTCCATAAACTTTGAATAATTTTTAGAATCTGGAAATGATACCACGCGCTATGATGAGGCTGGTTAACTCTGCTTCAGGTACTACCTCAGATTCTAGCTAACGTAGCTTTCAACTGGGAATCTGGGTACCGCTCATTAGTTAAATTCCTTCCTAGTCTGCTTTACCAAAGTTCCTTCTAGCATATATTCAGAAGAAAATGAACTAACTAAGAGTAGCAGTGAAACGTAATACGAACTGCGGCAAACAGTTCAAAAATAAAACATGGGAGCGAATGTGTTGAGTTCGCAGCACTCACAGACATTTGCTGACTGTATATCTACTGAAGCTGTAAAAAGTTACACATTGGACTTTGGTTCAGGAATAACTGTTTTCAAAACTGTGCCCCGGCGCCGGGGGGTTTATATACAGGTGTGAGTTGCTATCCCTGTAAAATGTAGGTCATTTTGCCACTTCCATTGGAATGGAATGGAATGGTTGAAACATAAAAGAGGCGCCATGTGTCCAAACGAACTAATTAAAATCGCAAACCCATGTTGTGCCCAATAGTGCATCGACCAGTTTGCTGGCCATGGCGACTAATGGCTCGCTGGCCAGTCCAACTGCATTATTTGACATTAAACAGTGTTTCTGCACTCCTGTATGCCCAATTAGTGACAGCGCTTCCCCTTTTGGTGCGTATGTGGTCAGTAGTGAGAAGCTATATTTGGATCTTTTCGAAAGCTTTGGCCAAAACTCTTTGTGCCATCGGAAGAAAATAAATTGTAGCCATATGACAGAAAGGGTGTGTAGGCGGATTAGAATATCAAGAGACGTCCTAATAAATCTCCTAGCATTTCTAAACGATATTTCCACTCCCTAGGTCGTAGGAGACCCTCAAAAGAGAGATGAAAATGCCTCCAATGACGGCAGTAGTCCGCGCAGGGGTAGATGGTTTTAGCACTGTGTATTTAGGCCTTCTCGCTACAGTAAACGGTAGCAGTCTTTGTAGTTTCGTGTATGTACCTAAAAGGCACGTTGAACATTTTCGTTCGCTAAAGGAGACTAGTCCTTTGTGGAGTAGATAAAAATTATTTTGCTGAAATAAAAAACGATAAAAGTGATTGATCGTTTTGGGTTTGCGTGACGTCATTTGCCTTATTTGGAATAATGCCTAAGTCCCAGTATGGGAGTTCCTTGTGAAGAGTGAAACATGCGAATATATTTTTCCCAAATCAACTCCTAGACCAAAACTTTAGGAATCTCTATGGGAATATTCCGACCATACCGTTAAAAAGGACAACTGTCAACTTGGTCTTTGTGAATTTCCCCAGACGTTTCGACAATATTAAGTGGTTAGACTCTGGATAAAAGATATATATCGGCACTGTATGCAAAGATGGACGTT